AAAAATTGAACCTTTTTTAGGTGTATCAATAGATATGCTCCTATGTATCACAATACCACATTTAAGTTCCTAAACAAATTTTTGAAATCCTTCACTGACTATAAATTATTGGCAAGGAGAAGTTTCTTTATATATATTTTTTAAGTCATTATATTTACTTTTATTTGCATATTGTAGAATTTAGTAAACCTAACTTTCATCTTTAGATAGTTGCTGCAATCTTAAATATAAAGTCAAAATTCTTGTATTTCATTTTATTGTTTACTTGTTTTACGGTCTTCCTCGGATCAATACTGGGGTTTTCAATGAAAACTCTATATTACTTGAAACGATACGTGTACTTGCGTAGTATCCATAGTGAGAAAACTATTTCTTTATTCATATTACATTTGTTCTCACTAGTCACTAAATATAATTTGGGTCAAGTTTTTGACATGTTAAAGAGCATAAATATCTGTGTAATTGTGGGTCGGGTCAGCAGTCTACATAATTCTTATGTATTTATATTTTTTTCTAAATCAAGAATAGTGGGGCCATATGTGTAGATTTTTATGTGAGCCTAATGAGCTGAAATAAATAGGCACATTTATATACATTTTACACAATTCTTATATATTTACATATCTGACACCTAAACATTCATATTTACATTAATATTACTCAAATTAATTGTAACATTACATTGAAATATCAATATAACTATGATTTTAAAAGTAAAATACACCTTTTAATGCATAGTCTTATGACACCAAAATATTATAAATGTTAATAACAAACTTTGGGTGGTGTTAAATATATAAATACATCAGAATTGACTCCTACATATATAAATTTCTATTAAAATTTAGGGGCATTTATATGTATAGCATTCGAAACATTGCTATTTATCTAAGAGTGAAGCCTTAAGCATTTAACAATCATAGGATAAACGAAAAACATATCAAACCTAATCAAAATCTCAAATTTCTATAAACATATAATATGAAAATACAAAAAAAAAATGTAAAAATAAGATAAAAACTTGGAGGGATGATTGAATCGCGATTACCTTTGATTTGAATGCAAGAAATTGAAAAACAACACACAATAATGAAAATAGGGGCAGAAGAGTGTTCGACGGTTTGAAGCATGAGTGAGTGGGAAGAGAAGCAATTGAGGAATTTTTGGCATCGATTTGATACAATAAGGCTTTTTCGGTGGCTTACTAACACTTTGAATGGTGTTAGTTATTAATACCTTACTAACCAAGAATTTTATCTATTGGTTACATCGAATGACCATTTGTTTTAACCTAGAAAAAACAATGTCTTGAATTTTCTTGAATATAGTCGATCGATTTATGAGTCAGTATAAATCAATGACACAGATCGTTTAAGACTTCTCAGAAACCGTCCAATATGTTTTTTGAATAAGAAGCAAGGCTTTTTGAGTCGGAAAGCGGTTGGAATTGACTTTAATTATCAATCGTCACTAAGCTGTCAAAAATTTTGACAGTCGTCGGGTATTCTATTCAATTTTACCAATTTTTCTTATAGTGCATGCTAATTTTCGATGAGGTAGCCTTCAAAAATAATCTCCCTGTGTTTTTTTAACATAATTTTTAAGCCATTAAGTGAAGCAAAATTTCTTGGCTTAGACCTCACTAGCACTTAGCCAAGAACACCATCTTCTATCAAAGCGCCAACATATTTTCTAATATTTAAAGAAGATGATCTTAAAGCTCCTCTTCTCCCTCAACATATATTACACATACATTCAACCCAATCTCTTCTAGAACATCAAGTATCACTCCCTCATATGAGCCCATTCCCTCTCATGCATGTACACTGAGCTTGTTGAGCTTGCCCGTTGAACAAGATTTTTTGCACCTGTTTTCCCATCAATTAAGTAAAAGGGGTTTAGATGAATAACACTTAAAACATCCACTTAAAAATATTATTATTATAAATATTATATAAAAAAAATTAGATAGAAACACATTTAGAATTTTGATTTCTGGTTGCAAACATTAAGTCTCATTATATGCTTTCAACTAGCTAAGAAATTATTAATGTAGAACTTGAAGCTAACATATAACTTCATGAAAGAATTATCATCACTATCATAAGTATATGTAATATGAAAGTCATCATTTCTATTATTAAGTTCTAGCCTTATCAAGGCACACACCAATACTTATCATCTAATAATTCAAATATGATATCCCATTTTTGTTCTCTTTAGTGTTATTTTAATGAATAATAATGATAATTTATACAATACCTCTAAGTTATTGGTAGTATGTTTTGGAGGGATGCTTAGATGTTTTTTGTAATATTTTGTTTTTGATAAACTACCCAAGAAGACGTGATCTACTTGATTTTTGCTCTATAAATTCATAAGCATAAATATTTTGCAACTTATTTTCTTATTCCAAATATGTGAGCATCTGCACACAATGATGCTCAAATTCTTCGTGGACATCTTCAATGCATGTAAATAGCTATACTTTAATATTTATTGTTATCTTTGATGTTTAGTGCAAAATTTTTGTACAATAACATTTAATTTCTTGATACTAACTTCAAAATCTATAGAAATCTCATATAAATTGAATGAGAAAGTTATCACAATTATATACATTTAAAATAAGAAAATTTATAAAATTAGGAAACAAATTGCACTATATAATGTAAAAATTATAACATGAAAGCATAGTAACTATAAAATTAACATCAAAATACATGTGATGATATGATGATTATGAATCTCTTAGTTTGACGAAATTTTAATTCAATTATGCATTCACAAATCTAAACACACATCTTATCCTTGTTAAAATTTTTAAAAATTGATATATTGCAAGATATCAAGTAAAATATCATTGCATTATTAATATAACTGTCTAAGATGCATCAGATGTGAATTTCACAACTCAAAAAAATTATCCATGCTTCATTAGTGTATTGGAATTTAGTATAATTCTTGTTGAAGTTGTCCTGATAAAACAATGTGAGTCTTTCCAAAAACGCTCCTTCTAAAACTTCCAAAACACCTCAAGGAAAATTAGTACTAAATTTTGGGGTTCAATATTCCTTTACCTCCACCTAAAAAAGGCTCTCAGAAAGATTTTGGAGGATACTTTTTAGTCATTTCAGCATGTTTTGTTCAATCCACAAAATAGAAAAAAATAATGAGAACAATAGAGGGGCCAACAAATTAGGGTGGCTTAGAGTACTTCATGCGTATTCCATGTTGCTCGTGTGTGAGTGAGTGAGTGAGTGAGTGAGTGAGTGAGTGTGTGTCTGTGCGTTAAGGAGGGAGAGAGAGAGGGAGGGAGAGAGAGAGAGAGAGAGAGAGAGTTTTAGGAAAAATTGAAAAAGTTTAGTTTGCACAAAATTAAGAGAGCCGAGTTAACATGAAATTGAGAATTAATGTTGAGCGGAGAACACAATGTTTCTTTCAAAGTGATAAAATTAAAAAATAAAATATAGATATTAAATACATAGATATGAAATTTTATAAGTGGTAAGTGTATTTAAATCTCTTACCTATATACACATAATTTTCATATATTTATACATATATGCTTACATCGAGTTAGAAGAAGATATTTAATATTGTATAATAGAGTTTATTATAAAAATTAATCAGCACTACAAAATAATTAAATTATTGCATTTAACTATGATTGTGCTTGCTATCTCCAAAATAAAATAATAAAAAAACATGATCAAAATAAACTTTAAAATATAATTAAATTGATATTCAAGCAATTATTATGTGAAAAAAATTAAACATAATGAAATTATACTTTAAACTTTGAGGTGCATTTTGGCATAATGACTTGGATTTCATCTGAAACTCTACAGTTAAGTATGCACGTATAAGAACACTCTTGGGATAGGTGCCCTCTAAGAAAGTTACACCAATGTAATAAAATTCTGAGGTGATTAGGCCAAAGGGGACAATATATCAATGAGTAAAAGTTAAGGCAAATGGTGTTATAGTGTTACACTATTCTGAAGATAGGAATATTTGTGTCATTGATGATTCTGGTCTAACAACATTGATAAGAATGTCAATTACCTAAGTGAGGAAGATTATGAAATCACTTAATTAAAATGAAACTAAAGTTTAAACTTTGAGGAATCTTTCAGTGTAACTATTCAGAAACTCCAAAGTTAAGTGTGCTCTTGCAAGAGCATTCCTAGGATGGGCAACCTCCTATGAAATTGTATGAAGGAGACAAAATCGGAAGGCCATTAGATCAAAGAGGAAAATATCTCGATCGATGAGAGTTTATACTTTTAAAAATGATATCAGAATATTACACCAGTCTAAAAATAAGAATATATATCCAGCGGATGATTTTGTCTTGAGAGCAATGATGAGGACGTCAATTATTTATGTTGGTGGCCCTTAAGTAAAATAAAGCTAATCTCTTAAACTTCCAGACTTTTTTAGTGTGACTGTTGGAATTTCATCGAAAACTCCAAAGTTAATAGTACTCATGGGATGGCCATTTGGCCAAAACAAACAATTTCTTAATGGTTGAGAGTTAGAGTTGTACAAATAAAAAAGAAACTCACACACATAACACACAATTGTTATGCATTTATATATCCAACACCTAAATTTTCATATTTATATTTAGATTTTTTTTGGTGTCATAAACTTATGCATGAAAACATGTATTTATCTTCACAAGATTAGTATTAGTGATTTTTTTGTTGTAATGTTAAAAAATTGTCGGATGTCAATGCATATGTCAGATATATAAATACATAAAAATTATATGGTATAAATGTAAATGCCCCATAATAATGAGCAAAGTATTGTTTTCAAGCAACATCATTAGAAAAGCATAATCCAAATTTCATAGACAAAAATTGGCCACTATTACCTTTAATCATTGAACTCGCAAATTCTAATGACGCATTTAATTTTGTCCCTTCTTCAGAAAGAAAGCAAAAGAATTAAGTGTTTATTATGAAATACTAATTTTCTGAATTGGAACCTATCCAGCAACCCAAACCAATCCAGCGACCGGGGAGAGAGAGAGAGAGAGAGAGAGAGCGGGAGATGCCTTCATTAACGACCACTCGCCTTCGGCAAGCCAAACCAATCCATCGATCGAAAAGCAGAACAAATTGCAGAAGCTCGGACCACGCAACCTCTCTCTTTCTCGATTCCTCTCTTCGTTTTCCCCCTTCCTCCCAACTCAATATCATTATTAGCTTAAGATTGATCGGTTCTCGTCTCCCTCTCTATTCTTCCATCTCGTTCTCATAAATCAATCATTTCTCTGCAATGGGTTCTACCGAGGCTATGGCGAAGATGAAGGAAGTCATCAAATTGGAGCGAGAGTCGGTGATCCCAATCCTCAAGCCCAAGCTTGTCATGAGGCTCTCATACCTTATAGGTTTTCTCATCACGCCTCTCGTCCAAATCTAAATGACTTTACTGGAGTTTTTGAATCAGATTTTTACTTTTTTGTGTTGAAAATTATAGCTTATTGGAAATTGGAATGAATGATTTATTACGATATTTAAGTTACGGCTCCGTAGCTAGGGCTAGCTTTGTTATGGACAATGGTGAGATATCTCACGCCGTAGGTTTCCTTCACAGAGCAACCTGCAGATAGGACAGATTTCATGAAGCTGTGCAAACGCATTGAGTACACAATCCGGGCTTGGTATCTACTGCAGTTTGAGGATCTTATGGTATGGTGGTATGCTTCTATTTGATTTCACTGCCAAATTTTTAATCTTCATGATCTCAGAACAATTTTTATTTATTTTTTCCTTCCATGTAAATATAATTTATGGATCATTTGTCTGTTAGTGTTTGGTTCATTTCAATATAAGGTGGCCGTGTGTTACAATCCTATTTGATAAATCAAAAAAGGATTTTGTCTGAATAGAGTTGTCCAAAAGGAAAATGAGTTAAAGGTCTACAATTTTGAGAAAGAATAAAATCATTCCAGGATATAACATTTTAAATTAAAAAAATTCAACATTTAAAATGCACTTAGTAATGCTTTTCACTTCTATTGCAAAGTGTGTTTAACGGCTAATGACCGTATAGCCAAATAGAATTAGAGAGCTAAGGGATTGCTTTTACATGACAATTTTACACCTATTTAAAACTCCCAACAAGTTAGTTACTTAACTATCATTATGATCATTTACCTAATCCTAACTTCTTTGTATCTTTGTCTTGATAGAAGTTTGAAAGTTCTAACATTTCAGAAGCACAAAATGTGAGCGTTATGATGTTTTACTCTAGAGTTCTTTTTTAAAAAAAAAAGGAAAATTTTAGTTTATTTTGTTGTAAAACATGTTTGTTAACAATCCCTACATAAAATGTGTTATATTTTTCTAATTTTTTTGTTATTCAGTTCAATTACAGATGTTAATTTGAGTTGATTTAGTCATAATTCTCTTGAATTAGTGTTCGGTTTTTGTTTGATGTTGCAGGCTCATTGACAGGCAGTCTACTTTTCTTTATTTTTGTTTTGCAACAGTATATTACCGTTGAAGTTGTTACTACAATACTTTTTCTTCTATTGTTTTGGTGAAAGTCATTTTTCCTTTCGTATTTAATGATTGTGGGTCATATTTCTGTCAATGTTTTGAGCAAACAGGCTGAATGATTTTTTTTCTTTGCTTTCATTCAAATAAATAATAGTATGTACAATTTCTTTTAGGTAACCTAATAAATATTCCTAATCTAAATAGAGAGAGAATATGTACAATTAAAAAAAACAAATCAGAAGAGAGAACTTTGAAAATAATTAAAATAAGGATAAATAAGGAAGCTCCTAATTATAGGAAACTCCTAATTCAGCTGTCTTGATTTTTGTGATTCTTGATTGATATTCCCTCTCAAATTGATGCTGACTAATCAAGAAACATCAATTTGCAAACAAGAAACTGATGACACTGTCGAGAAAGAGCCTTAATAAATATATCAGCTGTTTGAATATCTGCTCACTTTTGGCCCATTTGCTATTACCTTCCCCGACACCTGATACTTTCCCTTACAGACCAATTGCAAAAAAGGTAGAGAGAATCATCTTTTGAAGTATCTGGTGTGAGAACAAATTGATTATTGCCGACAACTATGAATGTCGAACCAGAATTATAAGAGTCAGATATCGTAGTATGACGAGCTTCTATTTGCAGTTTGCGGTTTTGAGGCCGTGTAGGACACTCCTTAATAATGTATCTGTTTTTCTTGCAATAGTTACAGAACTTCTTACTACATTGGCGGGTAATTTGACCAATTTCTTTACAGCTGTAACACTGTTTTGTTTCCTTCCTTCGTGTCGGAGCAGCATATGCAACATTAACTATTTATGATAATCTACCAGCTCTACCAATAGCAGCTTGTGTCGTCAATATTTGTTCTTCATGCAGTAATTCACCGAAACATACATCCAAACAAGGAACCATATCTCTATTTAGCAACCTAGTTCGAGCAGTTTCAAATTCAAGCCTGAGCTTCTTCAAAAACTGGTCGCGGTGACTCACTTCATGAATAGCTTGAAGACAAGCTAAGCTCTCTTTTGACGCCTTAGCATACATAATGCCAGAATATTCGCTCCAAAATTTAAAAAGTCAGAATAATATTGTTCAATTGAGATATTATCTTGACTATAACTACTCATATCAAGTTCCAAATGAACGCGCCTTGCGGTATTATCTTGATTGTAGCCGCTCTTCAAGTATTCCCACATTTCTTTAACCGTCCCAAAAGATCGTAAATTGTTCACCATATGAGTCTCAATAGATCCCAAAATCCAAGAAAAAATCTGAGCATCCTTTGACTCTCATTGACCAAGATCTTTCAGCTATGTAGGTACTGGAGAAGATTCATCAATATGCCCCCAAAGCTCCTTCACTTTCAAAAACATCTTGAACTGAAATTCTCATGCTGCATAATTCTTTTCCGTAAATCTGATAGCTAAGATTTCAGAAGACATTCTAAATAGAATTATCACTCACAAGTTAATTACCAAGAAAGTCATTGATTGAAATCAACCTCAAGCCAAAGAAAGCCAAGAGATCCAAAAAATCCAAAGGAACCCAAAGAAAATCAAAGAGAACCAAAAAATCGTGTACTGCCTTGAGTTCGATCCGAGACCTAAGGAGATGAATCCAAAGCCGAAGCCTACAATCTTTGAGTGCAACGAAGAAGCTGAAGTTGAAGCTGAAGCCGAAGATCCTTAAGTGGAATCAATTGAAGACTCGCAAGAAGTAGTCGGAGGAAGACTCGCAAGAAGCAGTCGGAGGCGGAATAAGCAGTCTAAGATGTTGCAGAACATAGTCGACGAAGCGGGCGATGAAGCAGTCGAAGATGCCGCAAAAGCAGCGAAGGCTAGCGAAGATGATGATGGCGTTTGGATGAAACTGAAGTGGTCAAAGCGAACTAAGCAGATGAGGTTGAGGAGGACTAAGCGAAGCAGAAGTATCAGTGAAGGCTAGCAAAGACGACAATGGCGTTCAGATGAAGCCGAAGTGGACGAAGCGAACTAAGCGAACGAAGCCGAAGAGGACCAAACTCTTGGTGATTTGCAGTCGAAGACGTCAAAGACGTAGGAAGCAGCCGACGGAGTTAGAATGAGCTCTAAGATGAAGACGAACGATTCCCAAAGGCTAGGGAAGATGACGAAAGATTCATACCGAAAAGATTCGATGTGGCTCTGATACCATGTCAATATTTTGAACAAATATATTGAATGCCTTTTTCCTTTGCTTTCATTCCAATAAATAGTATTTTGTACAACTTCTTTTAGTTAACCTAATAAACATTTCTAATCTAAATAAGGAGAGAATATATATAATTAAAAGAAATAGATCAGAAGAGAGAAAGTTTGAAATAATTTAAATAAGGATAAATAAAAAAGCTCCTAATTATAAGAAACTCCTACTTCAGCTGCCTGATTTCTGTGATTCTTGATTGATAATTTCTTCTTCAATTACCGAATAGAAATGTGACTAGTGGCTGCTGAACTATTTTTATATGCGTTAAAGCAAAATATATATATATTTCATCTGGTATGATGCTTTATTCATAGATGTTGCACATGTCATTTTAGGTAGACTATGGTTTTATGAATTAAGGGGCATTTACATGCATACCCCCAAATTCTTATATATTTACATATCTTACACTTAAACATAATTTTTACATTTTTACCACCCAAATATTTCAAACCAAATAAAAACTACTATTATTTTAATTTTTTTAAAAAGTAAAATACACCTTTTTCATGCACAAGTATGGTGACATTTTAGGTGTTACATATGTAAATACATAAGAATTGAGCGGTATGTATATATATCTTCCATGAATTAAATGCACATATTTTAGGATGTCTAATACTTGTATGTTTAAGAGAAATGGGAGGACAATAGTTGTAAATCTTACTAATCATAAGGATACTTCTACGCAAGATGCAAAAGAAATTAGTGTTTGTAAAAAATAAAACAAAAAAAAAAACTCTTCAAGATAATTATTAGCTTCTTTGTACAAGAAGGGAGGTATATATACAACTCCAAAAGGCATTACAAAATTTGAATAAATTACAAAAAAAGAAAAAAATAATTAGGTGACGACGATCTTATAAGAAAGCACACTAATTACAAACCAAGGGTCGTATAGAAATAGATTCAACGGCGTGCTTTAAGTTCTTTGCTATCTGAGGGTGATAAGAAAACGTATCAAACGATACAAAACATCAATCCATGTGTCTTCAATTCTCTAATTTGATTAGAGCAGAATTTCAACATTCTCCCTCAAACCGGATGATAAATATTTACCGTTTCCACGTTTGCTTACGAATTTTTTAAACTTTAGGTTGCAGAGTCCTTTAATGGATATGTTGCCTAGATGATCTTTTGTGGACATATATGGAGTACAAATCAAAAAATTTGTTAATTTCTCTTTCATAAAGTGCCTATCAACTCAACATGCTTAGTACGATCATATTTCAGAGGATTTTGTGCAATATCGATGTCTGAGTTGACAATATATTTTTATAGGCTCTTTTCACTTGATTTTTATAGTCTCTAATATAATGTTAACCCATAGAAGCTCACTGATCCCTTGCACAACCCTTGCACAACCCTTGCACAAAAACTCTAAACTCGGCTTCAACACTTAAACTTGAAGCCAGAGGTTGTTTCATGCTTCTCCAAGTTATGAGATATTCTCCTAAAAAAACATAGTACCTTGAAGTAAACTTTCTATGTATTGATGATCCGGTATAGTCTACGTCTATATATCCTTCGTAGAGTATCATGTCTTTTATTTGAAATTATTTTTCTTGTGCTTAATTTTAAATATCTGAGGATTCTACAAATGATTTGAATGTGCGACTCTTAATATTTTATGCATGAATTGACTAACTAGACTTAATGTAATTGTGATGTCAGAATGAGTGTGAGATAAGTAGATTAACTTTTCTCCTAAACTTTGATGTTGTCATGTATCAACATCAGCTCCTTCATCAAGGTCAAGTTTTTTTTTTCTAACTTATTGGTATTTCACATGCTTGTAACCAAGAGGGTAGATTTTGCTCTATAAAACATTGCAATCAGAACCAAGCTACATGCCTATGGTGAAAGAAGATAGGAGGTGAGGACGAAACCGAAGGAGAAGAAGAAGGCTCGTTCTTTTCTCTTACCGTATAACGACGTCATTGGGTGCGTCCATT